ATATTTTGTAACAGATGTGTGATATTCGATATCATTACAACCGTAAGGTGTTTGAATAAGGATGGTTGGAATCAACTTGGAGGATTAAAATGTTTTGTATTAATTGTTAGCTGATTGTTTGCTTAAGAAACTAATTTAAAAAAAATTTAAAATGAAAACGAAACAATCAAAAACACTAAGCCTATCTTACTTTATGAAATGAACAATAAGTTGAATTAATCATAAAGTTATTTCAATTATCAGAAACTTTATAGTAAGAATAGAAACTGCTTAAAAACTAGTCTGATGTTGTGAATACTTCATAAAATTCTTCATAAAACTAAACGTAAGACAGAATCTCAATAATACATAAAGTGTAAACGAACAACAACAGTATTTGTCTCTGTTTTGATCCGAAACGGCATCCTTAGCTAATGATGAATAAAACAAACTTATTTACAATCGGGCGTTTCGTTATATTTTCAATATAAAACTAATATAGTAATAGGGGAGAAAATTATGAACAAATTAAGTCATAACACTATATTGTATTCGAGTTAGTTAAAAAAACAAATTTGATAAATATTAAAACCCTCTTTGGAAACGACCACTCCTTTCTACATTGAGGTTTAAACTATGAATGCAGACGAAATAAAAAAACAATAGTTCTAAAGGCTATTATAAAACCAAATTAACAAGTTTCGAGCTACAATGGACAAATTAAGAGGAATCCAAAAAATATTCATTGAACTTGTTTTTATAAAACTACTCCTTGCTAAAACAAAAGGTTTTGTTTCTTGCGACCATAAAATATATTATTTGGATGCTATTATAAGGAATGGAACTGGAATAGAGGATCATAAAACCCAAGCTGTTGATTTCTACACCTCATAAGCCACCGCAACATGACCCAACTGATAAAGAGGGGAATTTATCAAGCACGATCTTGCCAGGTCCTTGTAAAGATAGTGAGCAAGTCGTAATGAAGTTGTCATTATTCTCGACGCTGTGTTATTCCTAGTAAGAAGTCCGTTTCCCTTCTCTTAAGTGTCGAGAAGTCTCGTGCAGTCTGCCGTGATGAGAATATACCATCTGTGTCATATCTCTTATCTCCCCATTGTTTTCCGAATCGAACTTTATGCGCCGAAATATCTACATACCCACTACGAACGAGAGGATTTTGTTTTATATCTGGCATTTATTGCTTGCTATCTGGATTTTAACTTGCGCTTGGCTTCACAACTTCAAAGTATATTTAATCACGTAAAGGGCTTATTACTGGATTTGCTCCAGCATTGTTTAATAGAAGTCGTTATTAGTGATCATTAAATTCTCGAAGTTATCCAACCATACTTCAAGTTAAGCTTAGGTTATCGTGTTGAGCAAGCGATAGTAGGCAAGCACGTGGATCTAAATATTTTGATGGTATGGACATAGTCTCCAAGTGCAGAATGTCAGTGTATATTTTGATGGTTATGGGCACAGTCTCCAAGTGTAGAATGTCAGTGTATATTCTGATGGTATGGGCATAATCTCCAAGTGTAGAATGTCAGTGTATATTCTGATGGTTTAGCATAGTCTCCAAGTGTAGAATGTCAGTGTATATTTTGATGGTTATGGCCATAGTCTCCAAGTGTAGAATGTCAGTGTATATTTTGATGGTTATGGCCATAGTCTCCAAGTGTAGAATGTCATTGTGTATTTTGATGGTATGGGCATAATCTCCAAGTGTAGAATGTCAGTGTATATTTTGATGGTTATGGGCATAGTCTCCAAGTGTAGAATGTCAGTGTATATTTTGATGGTATAAGCATAGTCTCCAAGTGTAGAATGTCAGTGTATATTTTGATGGTTATGGGCATAGTCTCCAAGTGTAGAATGTCAGTGTATATTTTGATGGTATAAGCATAGTCTCCAAGTATAGAATGTCAGTGTATATTTTGATGGTATAAGCATAGTCTCCAAGTATAGAATGTCAGTGTATATTTTGATGGTATAAGCATAGTCTCCAAGTATAGAATGTCAGTGTATATTTTGATGGTATGGGCATAGTATCCAAGTATAGAATGTCAGTGTATATTTTGATGTTATGGGCATAGTCTCCAAGTATAGAATGTCAGTGTATATTTTGATGGTATGGGCATAATCTCCAAGTGTAGAATGACAGGGTACATTCTGATGGTTATGGGCATAGTCTCCAAGTGCAGAATGTCAGTGTATATTCTGATGGTTATGGGCATAGTCTCCAAGTGCAGAATGTCAGTGTATATTTTGATGGTATGGGCATAGTATCCAAGTATAGAATGTCAGTGTATATTTCAACAATGCAAATACATTTTGTCTTTGACATTTGTTTCACTTATACATAAAAATAATGAACAGACTAAGTTCACGTAAGTGAAGAACGGAACTTTTCTAAGTGACTGATCACTTAACTACATTGACTGAACGGCACAAGTTTGCTTACACATTTAGCACACATTACTCAGAACAAGACTGATTGACAGAACTTAGCTGGCAGACTAAGTACAAATGACTAAGAGACAGAAATATTTGAATTGGACGATTAAGTATATATATATATATATATATATATATGACATAGTAACAGAAGTTTACTTTTGACAGACTAGGTATACGTGTCTGAACAACTGAAATGTTTTATCTCACAGAATAAGTATACATGATTAACAGTAGATTATCAACTAGAAAACTAAGTACACCCGAGTTTTCTAATTGACAGACTAAAAAATGACTGTACAACAAATGTATATTAATTGGCAGACTAAGAACAGGACTATAAAACAAATGTTTATTAACAGTGAACTAAGAAGGACTGTACAACAAATGTTTTCTAACTGACAGACAAAGAACAGGACGGTACAACAAATGTTCATTAACTGGCAGACTAAGAACAGGGCTGTACAACAAATGTTCATTAACTGGCAGACTAAGAACAGGGCTGTACAACAGTAGTTTTCTAACTAGCAGGCTGAATACACATATATGTGGAGAGAGAGACTTTTGTTTCTCATTCATGTGTACTCAGCCTGCTAGTTACAGTTCAGTTGCTTATAGATAGCATGTCAAAACAAATTTGAATTCACTCAAAATATATTGTTTATTAATACAAACGGACTTCTGTCGCTTAGTAAAGTGATGATCATTAAAGTTACGTGAGAATATAATTCATGAATTCAGTTTCGAACTCTTCGAACAAAACAAAGATTACATTACAACTTTCTGTGTATACAAGGAACAAAACAAAGATTCCATTACAACTTTTCGTGTACACAAGGAACAAATCGAAGATTCCATTACAACTTTCTATGTATACAATTAACAAAAGAAAGATTCCATTACAACTTTCTGTGTACACAAGGAATAAATCGAAGATTCCATTACAACTTTCTATGTATACAATTAACAAAATAAAGATTCCATTACAACTCTCTATGTATACAATTAACAAAACAAAGATTCCATTACAACTTTTTTGTGTACACGAGGAAAAAAACAAAGATTCCATTACAACTTTTTGTGTACACAAGGAACAAATCAAAGATTCCGTTACAACTCTCTGTGTACACAAGGAACAAATCAAAGATTCCGTTACAACTCTCTGTGTACACAAGGGGAACAAAACACAGATTCCATTGCAGTTTAACTCCCTAAAACAAACGTTAAAATATTAAAAACTCCTTTTGTCTCGGGAAAATCATAATCACGAAAACAGTATTGTTAAGCTCTATTTCTTTTTATTTTGGAACAATGCTTCAATTTTGAAACAAAAATCAGAACATAATCTTCACTTTTTATACGTTTTTTTCAATTACATAAATTGCTGAATACTTTAAATACTTGGGGGTATAACAGTACTGTTATTTCTTAAAATCCTCTCATACGATGTCAGTTATATTTTATTTTGATATACGTTATTATTTGAATATAAATTAACAAGTAACTTTTAAAGTTGATTTTGCATTTTTATTGTTAAAAAATACTTTTCGTGCTTCTTCCCCCACCCTTCTTCAGGGGCTAGTATTGATTTCTTTAATTTTATCACAGTTCTATCAGTGTTTGTAAATACGGTTTATTGAAAAAGGGTTTAAGCCCCAAAAGTCAATTCTTAAAAATAAAAGTGTAAAATATTTTACTTTTAAGTTTTAATTACTTTTTGGAATATAATTGTGTAATCATTTACTTTTACGTCCCTGTTGTTGTTTTTCAAGTAAAAATGTGCAATAGTTTATTTTTACGTTTCTGTTTTCCACAGTTTTTACTTTCTTACGTATTTTCTTCTATGTTATTTTTGCTAATATAAATTGAATTAGTGATCGATGAATTAGCTTTAGCGTTCGACTATTTAAACTATTGTTTAGGAATGTTATTGCACGAAAGAGATCACTAACAATGCGCGAGTCAGATTATAATATGGGAATTCTGTATCGAATAGCCTCTTCGCTTGAGCTTACATTCACATTTATTAGGCTTGGCTATCCATATTGTAGCCATCATTGTCAGACGTAGTAACAGATAGGAGCAGCCTTCAACGGTAAATCTAGTCTTAACTTTAAACGAATTTAGGGCTAATGACCTTCTCCTCTGATTTTAGTTTAATTGCTGTACGAAGCATAAAATTTTTATAGAACAATTTAAGTTTTAATTTAATTTAATTCAAGTCTTTGTTATGTTGCTCGACATTTGCTCCCCCCCCCTCCAAAAAAACAAAAAACAAAACAACAACAACATGCTATTTAAATTTTGGCTTTACACGTGGGAAATATAATCAGAATAATACAATTAAATCGTATAGTAACTGTTGATTGGCGAGATTTTAGAAACTGGGAATTATTGGTCGGCAGGAAAACCCTGGTTGAAATTTCTTGTGAACTAGTGGTAACTCCAATGTGTTCTCACAGGTATTATTGTTACAAGGTGATATTTATTACCATGCCCTCTCTGTCAGGGGTGGAAAATCCCCTGTGTTGTTCGACGTAACGGGTTTTCTGACTATCCAGTTGCAGGCCGGGGAGACCACCTAAGAGAGCTTCAATGGTCAGTATGTCCACCTCACCGAACAACCTGATGAAGAAAGGAAGATTGGAGATGGACTATCACGCTTATGAAAATGGACATATAACGGGTGAGTTGCTTGTAAGTTTTGAAAAAAATCTATTCTAGAGTAAATTTCTCTAAAAATATACATATTATACTGTTACATTATTTTGCTCTGCTCACATAAGTTAAAGCTTTCCATTTTCAAGAGAACTCCAAAGTGGCAAGTGATTGATACGCACCATTTGTTTTATACAGATATCATGGAGGCTAAAATTATACAGCTTGCCACAGATCAGAAGAACAGGTTTTTGGAAATCTCGATACTCAGTAATACTAGCATCGGCATTAAGTGGGCGAGGGAACGATTTAAGTTTAAAAATTATCAAAATTGTTATATTCATGATTCTAAAAATTGATAAGTAAGTAGGGGTCAAAATCAGTCAATCAGAGAACAAGAAACCAGATAATTCGAGCTCTTTCTGCCCAAATCAGTCAATTAGAGAACAAGAAACCGAAAAAAACGTGCTCTTTCTGTCAAAATCAGTCAATTAGAGAACAAGAAACCGAAAAAACCGTGCTCTTTCGGTCCAAATCAATCAATCAGAAAGTAAGAAACCGAAAAAAACCGAGCTCTTTTGGTCAAAATCAGCCAATCAGAGAACAATAAAACAGAAAACACGAGCTCCTTCGGTCAAAATCAGCCAATCAGAGAACAAGAAACCGAAAAACCAGAGCTCTTTTGGAAGTGAGACTTTCCTTTTTCATGGTTGAAATTTGCTATATAGAAAAAATGGCTATATATGGTTTAATTCGTGCTAAAACAAACATTGTTACATACAGCTCATCATATTTCTTTCGGTAACAGAAATTCCTGAAAAGGACCAGGTTTACTTGTGTTTTTAAGAATCTGTGAATTCGTGGTGATTGTGCTAACCTGGAAATCGATATAAAACATAACTGAAACAGAGCTGAAAAGAAGCTCAACAACTAATATTTTGTAGGTAGGCTGGTGTGGTGTTATTTGGATAGATTTCTGGTGTTTAGTTATATGGTTTAATAGGTGTTTTAACGGCTGAAAATATCGTTAACAGCGAAGGTACCCAACTGATGAAGTAATGCAGTCTAATAATTATAGCAAAGGTACTTTGAACAGTATATTTAACTAACCATGCTCGTTACTGGACATATTTTTAGTTCTGATCTCTTTAAGTAGCTTGTTATACGCTATACTCGCTGAAAACAAAGTAAATATCAAATAAAATTTAACAAAAATAGAGTTCCATTTTTGGTTAAGAGGCACAAGTGATTAGAAAACCTTGGCAAAAAGGAGGTTGCATACCCCAGAGCCTGCTTAAAGGTGGTATACTTCCAAAACTAAGATTGGATGCTTGCAACTCGCATATTCCCAGTGACCCCAGTTGTTACTATAACTGTTGGCTTGTAAGAAGTTCACAGAAAATGCCTTAAAATGTACGGAAAGGAAGAAGAATGTTATAAATTGTTTATTTCAATCAAATTTATTCCTAAAACAGTGTAGAAGCAAAAGTATAAATGAAAGATCCAGCATTAATAATATTTCTAAAATTACAAATTTACGTAAGAAATATAAGGGGTTGTTTCAAAGTCGATGACGAGGAACCCACTTTGAGACTAATAATGGTTGGAGACGGCTTGAATGGGT